GTGATATTTGCGCAAACGTGTCGACAGTCTGGTAATGAGTGTATTCATTTCGTTCGTTATTACAAAATTCGAAGGCTAACAAACCCATTCATAGCACCGCATCTCCATTCTCCGCGATAAACATCCCCATTAGGCCAAACCATGGTTCCGATACCATTGCGCAGTCCATTATTCCATTGACCCATGTAACGAGCGCCGCTCGGGTATATTCGTAATCCTACTCCATACATTTCGTCCATCACCCAATCTCCGTCGTACGAACCGTGACCCTCGTAACGACAATAACTTTTGCGAAAAACACATTTTTTAAGTAAATTCATTGTTCTCTACTGGATGACAGCCACCATTACCGCTGAATTACAACTTGGAACAAATTACCCTGCCGAATTACACGAAATAAACAATATTTCTATATTTAACACTTGAAAGACGGACTTGTCGAAGACGAAATTGGGTCATTTCTGACCCTTACTTGAAATCTCGTATAAATATATTTGATCAAAATGTTTGGTCCTCGTTTTAACGTAAACTTAAAATCAGGGCCTCGAGGGACCAACGTTCGTTATCCAAGGATTAAAGTCATGCCGGAGAGTATTTCTTCCATTCATTTGCTGTTTTCTTTTTTTTTATATTCTTTACTGTGGGGGCAAAACTAGACAGTACGCCTCACTTTTAAAGAATACTCCATAAAAACAAGTTTTTCTATCTTTAACCCTCCGAGCACGGAAGCATGGTCAGCGGTCCTTATGTCATTCCTGACCCCACACCGATATTCTACTAGTACACAACGACGGTGAGGCACGAGCTCAAGGATCTCACCGACACTGTACTACATAACACAGTGCCAGTATGGCTCGAGCCCGAGACCCTCACCAATATTACTACCCAGTCACCATGTATACAATGTAATGATTAGCTGGTTTCACATTACATTTGGATTTTCGTGGTTCTTATTATACTAACTAGAATAAAAATCTCGTGAATTATAAAACAAATTATATTTATTCGCTATTGAGTGTTGTTTTACACGAATTACATATAATCGTACTTGTTTTTCCAATATGAGCAGTACATACATGTCTAGCACACAAATTGCAAGTATTGGCACATTTATTATTATTACCAACGCAAAAGCAACATTTGCCACGCTTCTGAGTGGATTTTTTTTAATTTTTTTTTCCGTTCCACACGTTTCAAAGCCTTTTACCCGATTATCAATGTTTTCATCAGTCAATTGTGTTGACAATTCTTCTAAAAGACGTAAGTCAATACTTCTGCGGCGCCTTGGCCCGGTCGTTCGTATGTAAACAAACATCGGTCGCTATGCGGTTTACACGACAGCACCGTCACTGTGTGCGTGTTGCTATCGAGACCGCGTGTCCCCACTCCTGACTCTATCACTGTGTGCATGTCGCTCTCGCGAATGCGTGACCCAGGGACCGTGCTCGGAGGGTTAATATACAGAATGTCCCGCCTAATATGAGCATTTTAACACTTTGATTGCCACGTCACCCAAATATGGCTGAGACGTACATTGCAAAGACGCTGAATTATTTAAACACCGATACAAAATTTTTGCGTAAAATTAACATCGTAGTATAATTTAAAAGAGGAACAACAGCTTCTACTAATCGAACGCATATATTTTCGACGATTTATGACTTCAGAAACGAATTACAGCGTGTCTGGCTATATACGGCCTTTTTCACTGTGGTAGTCAACGTGTTAAATATCTGACTTGATTTTTGATGATAGGCGAAAATGTGTGAGAAAAACGTTATTCGTTTGGAAGGAGCACATATTGTGACAAGCAGACAGGTTTTCTTAACTTCATATTTTTTTTAAACTTTCAAGGTCATGTATTTTTATCATCGTGGCGTAATATGTAGTTGCGGTAAAAACCAATACAATGATCTAATCTTTTACTATATCATCATATTTGTCCCTTCCAAAGAAAGTGTTTCCTGTCACTTTTTTTCTTATCATGAAAAACAAGTGAGATATTCAAGGTGTTGAAGTTAGGTAGGGCACCCTGTATACGAGAACAGGGATAAATGTAAATTATGTTCGACAAAAGGAACAAAGGATTAATTTGTGCTACATTATTTTAACGTTGTGCAAACAGAAAATTTCACGAGTGTAAATTATAAGTCATATACATCACAAATTGAAACACAACATCTTGGAGTATCGAGTTAATTGAAGTTCAATATTATTTTTTATTATACTTGTAGACGTGTTAATACTAATACTAACCCTTTTCCATGTCTGTGACCATTAAACCACTGTCCAGTGTACATAAAATGATGGTCGCTGTGCACTAATAACCCTCTGCCATGCCGATAACCATTCTCGAAATCACCCTCGTACCAACAGTTATTATTCCACTCTAATAATCCTCTTCCATGCATACGGTTCTGTTCGAACGCTCCCTACAAAAATTATGTAATTATTATCATTATGTTGTTGTGGAATCTTCGCGATAACTGGTTACATGTACCTACTACCGTCCAAAAGTATTCAGATACTTATATGACGATTCAAATTTGTGAAACCTAATATTTCACGACTGTTTATACATATTTTTTATACGAAATGTTTTTATTCATTTGTATAAAATTATTTTACCAAAAGTGAATATATTCACATGTTATAGAAGAACGTAAGTGATATTTATTAACAAATAATATCGAAAAAAGTACTAGGACGAAAGTTGAATGAAAAGGTATACGTAGAACTTCATATACCTACATGCAAAAGGAACAGGTTTTAGTTAACTTTTTCCAAACTTCTACTGTACTTTTATGCGTCTAGACGAATATCAGCTACGCACAACAGAAAAGCAAGTAAGTAAGACTGTGCAGACGTTTGATTGGAATTAGTTTAAGTGTAACAACGCAGTAGATTGCGAACTCAAGTTCCATAGAAGAATTAGGAATAGGAGTAGGAGATATAGGATAGTAGTTAGAAATAGGAGAGTCTGGTAATATTGTATTGAAAGATACTTTACAGACACTTATGGACAGTAGTGTACGAAGTTTGACGGAAAAGTAACAGGACTGATAGCGTAAACATTCGTACTGTCGAATTATCTGCAAATCAACATTATCCCATTCAAGATAGTTCCATTGGGAAACTACAAACCGCTGGGCATGTTGTTCCCATTCCTTGAAACAGTACTTTGTATTATGAATTTATATCTTACACACAAAAAATTTGACAAAAATAGATGCATATTTAACGAAAAATTTGTTTCACATTTTTTAGTATATTTTGTAAATAAATGAATTGGTTGAAACTTCTTTATATGGACGGATTTGTTTTTGAAAACCTATACATTTGTACTTTAAGCGTTTTGTCTAACGGTAATAGTTTCCGAGATATTCAAAACAATACGTTTTCCATGGCAACATTGGAGCAATTACTTTGTATTGTACACCATTGGACCACTTGAACACACCTTCGCCTTCCATCATTTTCCTACTAATGCGCCCATTATACGTATTGTTATTAATGAATGTTATATTCGCGAACTCATCCGGTAAAGTTAACTTCCATGATAGTTTAGATCCTGTTTCAGACCCATTGTTCTCGTTACTTTGTTCTCTTATTAATTCATTTGTTTCGTCAAAACTATATACTCTTTCGATGTCTTCGTTTTCCACAGACTCCTCGAGGGAACTGTCGTCGAATACTTTATTACGTTTTTTTCTTAAATATCTTCCCTCCCAGCTATAAAGAACAGTCTAAGTAATAAACTACGGATTTCATGCACTTACATACATAAGAATTGCAACTCATTTAAATAGAATAGTAGAAGGACTCAAATCGTGCTTAACATAGACCTTTAGAATTAATTACTATTTTATTTATAGCCGATTTTGGGATCATTCATATAGAAAAGAAGTATTAGTGAATACGTATAAACATTGGTAAAATATTATTTATTACAAATGTATGTACGTATAAAATGATTTCACCTATGATAGCTTTTAATTGCTAATATAATCTTGCTGAAAATAGTCATATACATTTAGATATGCATGTATTTCTAACTTATGTTACATGTAATTTTACGGTTCCTCGCGTTATAATACCATTTCTTCGCTCGCCAAATTTTCATTGTCAAGAATCATTTAAAGTATATATCTACATTTAAAATGCAAGCTTGAAATATTTCATTTTATGCTTCAAGTTATTAAAATAAAAATATATTAGCTGCAGGAAATTTTGCTTGCTGTTTAAAATATGCAAAATGTTATTTGAACGGTATAACATCTATTTAGTGTTTATATATATCAGCATTTGAAATACTTTTTTTACCAAATTCTACACAGTTGGGCTGTTTGATTATACTTAAATGAAGCGTTGTCATTTGTCGATTTTTGTGATTATTAATAAATTAATCAAATATTGCAAGGAAGAAGTTATAATTACCTTTTCAAGAAATATTTCAGCACATCATTGTAGAGTAGATAAATGAATTCCTCTTTGGCGTTATACTTGCGACGTGTTTCCGCCAGAATATCTTGGAAGGGTAACTCCTCCTCGGCTCCGTCAAATTTATCCATTTCAGTTTCTTCCGTTTCATCTTCCTCTTCTTCGTCGTATAATTCCGGTAGGATAATCGTTTTCCTACACTGCCGTAATAAAGCCTCTTTCAACGAAGTATTCGCCATCCTTATTGTTTCTTTCGAGACTTCGTAAAATCAAAAATAATCGAAAATTTCGGTAATCAATATAAATTCGCGACATAGATCTTAACGTTATATTTTTATTAATAACAGATAATGGTAGACTATCATTCAACTTGAATCTCTTGCGATGAGGCTTCAAGCAATAACGATAAATATTTTAATTTATTATCGATATTGTTTAGTGCTACATTCAGAATCTTCCAATTTTAGTCGTTTTTTTCACGTGATATTCCATCACGTCAATAAGTATTAATGTTATAAATTGTTATACCATGTTTTTGAATTGAAATTGAAAAAGACGAAATGGCTGGAAAAGGAAGACCACCAATAAATGTAAGATTAATTGTCTCTAGAATGGAATAATAAAGAATACATTGGATAAACGTTGTTATGAATATGGATATTTCCTTTTGAATACAAAGTTGATAGTTTTTAACCATAAAGTAAGCATAAAACATGAATGAATAGTTACTCACAGAAGTGTCCGTCCACACCATAAGTAAGACATATTTTACATATTTAATTATTGTTAAAGTCAGAACTAACAATTACTGTTTACATTAATAGAAATCTTAATTACTATCCTTTAAATTAGGGTGCATTTCACTAAAAAATTCTATGCAGTTTATTTTATTTAAGAAATTGTTCAATTTATGTATAATAGATTGAATCTTATAGTAAAATCATGGAGATATCCGACAAAGTATTAATTTATTGTAAGTAGGTTCGTATAAAATAAATATTGACTTTGATCGACTTGACTAACAGATAACGATACATTTTTAAATTAATTGTATACAATTTTTTAATTAAACGCATCCTAATTGAAAATATAGTAATCGAGATTTACACCAATCCAAATTATGGTTTAGTATATTTCTACTTTCGTCAATTATAAAATATATTAACTATGTTGTACGTATTGGGTGATGAAATACTATCGTAACTGTACATTGATTTTCTTCAGCATAATATTTGTGCATAATAAAAAGTAATTATTTTCACTATTCGATCCGAATGAAATTTGTAGGTAATTTGGTGAAAATATACACCTTTTGAAAAAATGCTGCATTGAAATTTACGTTGTAGACTGTGTTTCCATCTTGTCAAGATGAAGTCAAAGAACTGGAACCAATCGTTTTTCATGTTCCCGCGACTTACAACAGCAAAGTAAAAATTCACGACTGGTAAGCACACACCTGTACAGTAGTAATCTTCATACCATATTTAGTTTGCAAGAGATGTTACTAATATTCCTGGTTAACGTTTTACGTTAATCAACCAATATAGAAATGTTGTCATTGAAGAATGAACATACATGGTCTAACATGGTCGTTCATTCAATTTGGCTATTTACAACGTGTTCAGTGAAGGTTGTCAGTATATTTCATTTTCTGTAGCTATACATATACATACTATGAAAATATTTAAGAAAACTATTGATTTTAATATGGAGGTAGGTTCTTTAATTTTTTGCTTCATTTATAAAGCGTGTATTAATATTAATACTTTTCTATATTTTTATAACATTATAGAAATAAATGAAACTATATTTGATGCTACATTCTTCTTATAGTTTCATTGTCTAACACTAAGTACTGTTTAATTTGAAGTGAAATACTTGTACCTTGTAATGTGTCCTCTAGTAAAATCTATATATTAAAATTAAATTAATAAATACAACAGCCCCATAATGCTATATGAAATTATATACAGAGCGAGCCACATAAAACGTGACAATGGGATATTTTTTGAAATATTAGTGTTATAAGAGGACATGATTCGGCAAAGGTGGAGTGTTATAAAAGGCCCACTTATTTGCTTTTTGGACATGGAGTGTCAAGGTGATGATAATACAATTGATTTTTTTTCTTTTCTTTATACTTCTTATACTTTGGCTAATTGTGATTATTACGATCGACTTCGTCGAAATAAATTAAACCGTTGGTATGTAAGAATTTCATTAAACTTCCTTGTTCTTGTAATTAATTTATCTAGAATTTCAGACTAAAACTGTTCTTCGTTCGATACTAAGCCTAAAGAGGGTGCAATCCACCCACTGTTTCGCGTAGCAACCCCACGTCAACTACTACAGTTTTTAACAGGGTTATCGTTGCGCAAACATATACGTTTGATTCAGACCAAACAGTGACGTTTCTTATTACTCAAGTAACTTTAGTTTATTAATTAGTAAACATTTACTCGTACAAAGGAGGTATTGAAAGGTCATAATAAAGCTTTGGATATTTTTATCGCACCACAATTTATCCATGTCTTCGTAAGTAACTTCGTTTATATTAAATACTTGACAAGGTGAAAGTAGTTATAAACGTAACATGTACCAAGTAATAAATTACGATCATAAACAGTATGTGAACAAAGATGTTTAAATTGTGTCAATTATATAAACGATTAATTAATATAAATTTCAATGACTCTGTTAATACGAGAAATGTCAATATAGTGTACAGAAAAGTTGGGTAGGTTGTATTTAAATTAATCTTCACTTAAATGATAAATGAATAAAACCTTTTGGATCTTGGATCCCTAAATGAAAAGAAGACACAGCTATTTTTTATTTACACTTTAAGCGAAAATAATGAAGTTACTTGTTTTCCTACTTGCAAATAAGAAATTGTGAGTAAATTATTTACGGAATTATTGAAAGAAATTTCGTCTAAATAACAAAACTTAGTTGTTATTTACAATTCAAAGTTCTTATGTTTATTTGTTATTCATTGCAAATTATTTAATTTACCCGACACTGTAAAGAAGTGACATCCCGTTAAGTTTGATTGTGACGAAAATTGCAAACTAACATTTTTCCAGGCAATTACCCAGTTTGGCCGAACCCAGAGATAATAGAGACATATTCCCACCCGTTGGGAATCTTCACAAGTCGTCGTATAAACGATTGGGCCCAGAAGCTGACGGTACTGGAATTTCAGAGACGCAGGCTATGCTGTCCCAAATAGAACTGAAACACCTGTACGCGCCGATTTTTCCACAGCGTACCCTATTGAACATAAAGGCCCTTGCATCAGAAGTGTACGTGGAAATATTCAATTTCATGTCTAAAGTGCTCCTTTGGTATGCATATGTCAGGATTGGATATTATTTTAATTAAAATACTTTGAAAATGACTAGGTAAATAAACTGTTATTTTATTTTAGTGACAATTGTCTTCAAATATTTGTTCGGTATTTTATTTAAACAAGCAGATGATTTGTACTGTTCAAAACAATTAGAGGATCAAGTATTGATATTGCTCTGCCAGTCAATACGAGACGCATAATCTTTGAAACGTAGAGATGGATAAATTCATTTTCCAAATAAAGAATTTCGAATAACGAATAAACGATAAAAAAAATACGATAGAAAAAGTACCTCGCTATTTCTAATTGATTAAATGTGGAATTCCAATTCTTGCAATAAAATAATATTTTTTCTTGAATGAGCACTCACCTGGAAAACAATTATTTATCTCAGAAATGATTTAAAGGTATGGATGATGATCTTGCATACCGTCACTTTCACTATGTAAATATTATTCGAATAAAGTTGTGCACAACTCTGCTGAAAAATTTGTTACGCAAATATAACTATATAGGTGTTAGTAATGCACGTAAAAGATATCAATTTATCAAATATGTAGAACAAATGTTTTGTATCTTTCGCTTGGTGGTTGCAACAGGACCGTTAGCATTAGTGACCCTCTAATTCTTTTGAGCAGTGTATTAGAGGAGCGCCACTTTATGAATGTAACAACACAGTTGTGATGTATCTGTAATTATACCTATATGTAGGACTACAGATAGAAAGCCGTTAACTCTAACAGAAGCTATTTACGATCCTGAAGAGGCTCGTCGCATGGATTATCGGACCACGAAGGAAAATGATTACAGATTACCTCGTCCTATAAAACGAAAACCACCTCCGCCACCACCACCGCCAGAACCGTGGCTTTTGAATCGGCGAACGATCGGTTACAGTCTGCAAGAATTGGAGAAACGGGACGGTTTCTATACTTTCTTGGACGACGACATGGAGCTTCACCGGAGAATAGCGGAACTGAAATCGAGACGAAATAAACTCCATGAACATACGTCCACAAACGATTCCACAACAGATCATGCCAGTGCTACTATCGCAGAACATGAAAAGATCGATTGTCCATAATATTCTACCGTCTTCAGAATTTAATATTACAGTTCAATGGACTACGGATCTTTATGGAAAATAATTTTTATGAAGCAATTTAGAAAGAGGATTAAAAAGACAAACTTCTTCTTTTTCTCCGAAGTTGTTTGTCAGGTTAAGAATAAAATAAAAAATGTATTAAACCTGATGCCAGTTCTGTTTTCTATTGGATTTTACATACTCTTTTATGCTATAAATGCATAAATTCCGCAGTCTACGTATGAACACTAACAAGTACATTACTGTAAATATTAGTCGTTAGCGTTTCAGCTTTTAGCGATCTGAATTTTACAAAACTGAAGCCAGGAAGCTCGTAATTTTTACTAAACTTAAAGTACTTTTGAGTTTTAAGTATAATTTGAAAGACAGATAATAAAATCGTGGAAGGAATTACAAAAAGGAAATCATGTTCCTTTGAATGCTAAATATATGTATAATTTATACAATATAAAATGTGGGTGAATCAATGAGACGAAAAACTTGCAAACGTAAAATACAAAGAGTAGCAAACAGGAAATGGTATTTCTTTGGATATTAAGTTTGCGTCCGTTTCATTTACAATGTTGAAAGATAGATCAACGCGTTAAATATGCTCAAGCGAAGTGTGAGGGAAAAAGGTGGATGAAATAACGACATGGAAGGTTTGCAAAGTAAAATATATTTCGTCTAGAGTCTAAATAACATGACTCCTGTAGCAATGACAGTGAAGCATCACTGCACGATTGCGTCTATGATCGATCGTTGTCATCACTGTTCACTCGTGACGCCTGCCGAATCGCATATGACCATAATCGTCGAATTGTTCCCGTTTTCCGAATCTCATGTGTCCATAATCGTCGAAGTGTTGACGTTTGTTTAAATTAAAGAAATCTTCGTCTTCGCCAAAAGGATTTTCTACGGTGTTCCTGTGAAGAATTTTTTAAATTAAATTATCCAAAGCACACTTGTTACGCTTACTTACAAAAATATCTGCCAACCTTACCGACATATGACATATGTTACATATTAAATCTATGCTCAAGTAGAAGATACTATACAAGGTTGTCCCGAAATAGGTGTAAGTTCTTGAAAGGGGTCATTTCTGGGGTGCTTTGAAACAATTTTTTCCTTACCGAAAAAGTTCTCCGACGCTTTGTTAACGAGATATTAACGAAAAACCCCGACCAATCAGAGCGTGAGTCTACCGGCCGAGCTCCTGCGGTAGCGTTGGCTACGCGTTGCGCTTGTACTACGAACAAAAAAGTCGACAGGTATTGAACGGAACTGCGTAGAATAGCAAATTAAAAATTAGCGAATGAAAGCGAAAAAATCAATTTTACTTGTTACATCTTTTTTGTTTGCTACTCTACACAGTTTCCTCCGATTCATGTCGACTTGCTTGTTCGTATTACAAGCGCAGCTCGTAATCAACGCTACCGCGGGAGCTCAGCCGATAGACTCGCGCTCTGATTGGTTGGGGTGTTTTGTTAATATCTGGTTCATAAAGCCTCGGAGAACATTTTCGCTAAGGAAAAAGTTGTTACAAATCACCCCACGAATCACCCCTTTCAAGGACTTTCACCTATTTCGGGACACCCTGTAATTATCATTTATATTAGTCTACATCTTATCTAATATACTTTAGATTCGGATGCATTCAGTCGAGCAATTATGCATGTTCCAGTAAAGAAATGGGGTTCACTTTAACTTATGAGAAAAACGTTTCACCGATAATAACTAGAACAACAAATAACAAATAAGATATCAAGAGTGAGTAATATCGAAATCTTTTATTTAAATGAAATTTATTTCGACAATTCCACTATGAATTTATTTATAATTTCTTATTTTGCAAATAGAAGAGTATTTTTTCGTTAAACCTCAATACGACAGAAATAGTACATAAACAGTTTTTGGTTTCTCCTTACTTGCTGTATTTTCAATAATCGTTGTTAAATAAGCACCATTACTTTTTATAAATTTTTCTTACGTACGGTACGATAAGATAGAGACGAAGTAAAATATTTGTGTAACCACCGTTAAGAAAATAAATAATAACTAATGAATAATAATTACAGCTATATCTATAAATCACAAATGATTTTATTATTTTAAATAATTTATTTAGATTTGTTCAAATAACAGATAATAATTCTTCCTTTCATTTGAATTTCATATGTATGTTTAGAAACGAATAAGTGGAGTATTTAGAACATATTCTATAAAATAATAACAAATTATAGATTTTAATACTTATTTTGATACTGTAACTCTTCCAATTAATTTAATCTGCTCAAAATCATTGTGGGCTACCGATTCAACTGTCTCTTTTTCCAGGAAACAATTTCAAATTTAGAAAGTGGAATTTCACAGTAATTCACTTTAAGAATTATATTTTTCTTATTGCATTGTTATTAGAATTTAGTAGTATTCTGTATGTAAAGACAAAATTAACGTGGAATAGTTGAAATATAATATTTTATCATATGAATTAAGTGAATCGAATAGTTACCTCCGCAATAATGGACGGCTTCGAAATTTGCGGTAAATATTACTGACGAGTTCAGGAGCTGCACCACATTTTCCGCAAAATAACCAGATGACCGCCATTATGGAAAACAGTGCAAAGGTTAAATTCATATCTGAAAGATAATAAAAAATTGTTTTGTTCATAACAGAAACGCTGGATATTTTAATAATGCTTAAAATTTTATTGAGCATTAAATGAGTCTCATAACACTGAACTATTCAATGTAAATGTTTTAACTTGATACTAATATTTCTTCATTAATACTAGAACTACCAAAGCAATCACAACGATTGGTGCGTAAACTCCTAGAGAAATTATCAAACTATCCTAACAGTGCATTTTTTAAAATTCTTTGTAACTTCTATTGCAGCATATAAGTGACGAAGTTTGTTAATTTATCGATTTGCGTGTTTTAAAGAAGCTAACCTTTTTATCAGTCTGATACAAACAGAATCATGTTTATTTTCTGCAGTTCTAGTGTTAACAAATACCTACTCTTTACCAAAATCCGAAGCGAAGTTTTATTAAGTCTATCCTTGAACTTTACTTAGAATTTCTTAATTTAAATAATCGTAATGATTTTTATTCAATTTTTCCCAATCCATCATTCCCTTTTATTCATTTTAAGCAAATTTTCTGTAAGTTCATTGTCATAACATTTACTGCCCCCGTAAAAAGTACAGAACCAGCCATAATTTAACATGAAACTGGCGACTATTGTGAATTATTTTCAATTTCGAATTAACCCACTAATAATGGCCGTATTCTCGTCGAAAATGTCCAATAATATAGAACAATTACCCCTATATTTTTTATAGAAAATAGTTCCCTTATTTTCTGTAACTTTTTACTATTTTTCTGGTAATGTGTTGAATTTCCTGCCGATGAAGTAAAATAGAAGTATCTACAATACCAACGTAAATGTGACGGTAATTATTTTGCGCACACATATAATAAATTAACAAGTAATCTCTCGAAGAATTATTAAGGTCACGAAAATGCTATTTCACGCGTATGTGTTTCGACGCGAACAATCATTACGTAGAAGTAAAAATTGCGTATAAGAACATACGTAGTATTGTTATTATAAAGGAAAAAAACGAAAAGAAATACGTAAAGGGTAGATAAAATGTTGTGTTCACCTGTAATGGTAGAGGACCTGAAATCGGTGGAAGAATGCACGGTCCACGGGTCCCGACATGGCTTTTTATACGTGAACCCCATCATCCCCGGCAGTCCCGAAGGAACGTTGAGCTCTTTGAATTTTAATTCACGTAGCTCTCGCCTGATAAACAATTTTCTTGCCGGTAAACGCCTCGATTGACGAACGTTCAATATTCCGAGATGGTGCTCCGATGATTGGCAGCTAGGGGTAACAATATTACCACCTTAACTTTTCTCTTTCTATGGCGGCCACTTTACAGACGCATGGAGCACTGTGAATCCAGAACATTTCAATTCTATTTCTAGATTACTTCTCTCGGTTCGAACATGTCCCTCCCACGGCTCGAAATAGGAAAATATGAAGGATACACCTTGTTACTCCTTGAAAATTACAGTGGGTAAAAAAAGTATTCGTACTACCTTTAAAACAGAACGACTTTTTTAAAATTGGTCCAAGTGACTTGAGTTCTTTCGTGAAGTTAGAAAGATTAGTTTACTAAATGATGTGTAAAAAATGTTGAAAACGTTGCAATTGGTCGGAATTGCAATGAAAATAGTAAAGGTCACTTCTTAAAACTTTTTTTATCTGTGACTGTAATGAAAATTGAATAAATACATTTCGAAGATTTATGTTAATTATATAAATGCCTAAAATATCATCGAAATCGGTTAATGTTACAGTTGTTAATGTTACATTGCAGTTTTTCACGACTTTCGATTTACAACTAGTAGTAAATCTAAAGATTCTTACATCTTTTGATGCCTGGCTCTCGTTTCTCTATCGTATTAAATCTTCGAAATGTATTTATTCAATTTTCATTACAGTCTCAAATAAAAAAGTTGTAAAAAGCGACCATTAAGGGAATCTGTTGTACCTCAGACATGGTTGTACCACGGTCTTCTATCCAATTTTAAATGTACGTGGATTTTTTTAGCAAAATTGGCACTACTAGTTTATACATAATCTGCGAGAAGGCCTACAAAAGTTAGTTTGCAAGCGCTCGTGCTGCAAGTCGAGGAGTTGCGACGATTTGAAGATTTTTTCACATCAAAAGTAATTCTTTTTTCGTCTAAACTTTTGTAAATAACATTATTTCTGTTCATAAAGTTACAACGAGTTTTTTAAAATAGTTTCGTAACTTATTTAACCACAGATTGCTGTAAAAAGATGTGTTTAATATCTAATCTATAAATGAGTTGTTTTTTTAATTTTTGTACCTTGGACACGTCTTTCTTTTCTTTTCCGATATTTTGTTTCTTTTTTTTAGAACAGATAAGCAAATTAGCAAGCTCCATAATGAAATCAGAATAAAAAAGTCATGAAGGCTGGTAAACATAGAAATATTAGATATACCGTAAAGACTCATTTAGAAGGTATTAAAATGATTATAAGAATAGAGATTAAAATAACCCTAATACCTCGCATATTATAAGTAGTATTGTAAAGCAAAAAATATATATTCATACATATTTAACAAAAACAAGTACCATGTCCGAGCTACATAGGTGGTGTTATACCATGAACATAATTACCGTTCTTTTAAAACATTTATAAGTCCAATAAAATGTATTGGAATCATTCTACAAAGATTCAGTTATGTGTCTTATTAATCAGTAAAATATATACAATCTATAAAGTGTGTAAATTATTTAGCATTTTTGAAAAAAAAAACAAAGAATGTAGCCAATGTACACCAGGTTTCGCTAGTATTTTCCTCGCAATGCCAAGCAATTATAACTTTTTCAAAATTTTTGTACATATCATTTAGTAAACTGATCTTTTTAACATCACAGAAAAAATTCAAGTCACTTGGACCAATTTAAAAAAAATTGTTCTGTTTTAAAGTGTGTGTGAATACTTGTTTTATCCACTGTATATAATAATCGATGCAAATGCGGAAGCGCAATTTTCTCTTGAGGTATAAGAAATTCTTAAGGCAGATAATGCGTATAATTTTATTAGGCTTGTTAGACACATCTGTCGTTTGTGTACCTTATTTAGTTCGCATTAAGATGCGTTAATCTAATATTAATTCCGAAGGACATGATTTCTAGCGATTTCTCAGTGCTTTCTGAATCCTCCGGTTTGTTACTAAAACAGGTCAACTTACCGAAGAATGTTTCACCAACAATTGTTACATTAACACCGATTCATTGACGTCAACTTTGACCGATCTTATATGTTTACGGATAATTAATTACACCGGTGCATATTCCCATCGACAGCGATTTTTATAGTAACTCGTAGACGTATTTGGCGACCCCATACGTATGTATAACATATTTAACCTTCTTAATCAATATTAGCGTTTAATAATACGTTAAAAATATTAAAGGTCGATCCATACTATGCGGAACATCAACGACACGTCACAGACCAGGAACGTTACGTAAATTTTGCTATGCATTCACACTATACGTCTAGTTCTTTAATCGTCAGAGTATTATTTCCTGGTGTCGGTATAACCTTATGTGATAGTTGGAGATGAGGCGTTCCTTCTTAAAACTTACCTTCTGAGACCTTACCCTGGTTCCTCAATAAATGGAGATACAGAAAGACAATTTTATAATTACAAATTATCGCGAGCCAGGCGAGTTAGTAAAAATGCGTTCGGAAATTTGGCTCGGAAATTTCAAATCTTCTTCAGAAGTATAAACTCCTTACCAAGAAATGTAGATAATATTTTATTAACCACTCGTATCTTGCATAACTAGATTAAAAACAACGACCTTAGCGCACATCTTGATCACCCTGAAACAAAGCCTAGGCAAGGCGGAAATGCTAATGCTGTGGCATTTCAATATGTGATAAGAATAAATAATACTAATTAATTAATATAATTTAATTATTTTGAAAAATTGCATACAACTTTTGTAAATAATAGAAGTCTCTTAGCTACAGGCGTACTTGTGCTGGTCTACCTGAGCGTGTGTAGTCAGTTTTAAACAATTAGAAACGTGATCTTCCGTTTAATCGCTTAACCTATACCAAACTCGGTTTGGACTGCTTAACCCGCTCACTGCACATTTGTCCGCTACAGAGGACGCCTACTTTATCACTTTAGCAACAATATTTGGACATTCCTTGACGACCGGCAGTACGAAACTTCTTTAAACGACATCCAAACATTACAAAAACGGTGTTACTTTGACTCCTAGGTCGTTATTTATTGTGAGCAAACGCATTGTTTATAGAGACAAATTTTGTTTTAATATTTCAAATAGTCTTAAAATGACAATTAGTTCTGGATTCTATAAAAACAATGTTTTTACAGTATACCCAGAATATGCAGTGAGCGGATTAACACGTTGCCGCTCGTCTTTAGCCAGGGACATGGATCGAAAGTTGTTTTATGTGTGCAGGAGTTATATTGGCTGGCAAGCGATTCGTCGAGAAGAGAAGTTGTTACTTGTTTGGACGAATCCTTGAACGCCGTGATAAGCAGTAACTAGTCACAGACAAGTTTCCCTAATTCCGCATTTGACAGCATACAAATAGGTGCACCAGGCTACGGGCCAAAAATCGGGCGCCAACGTGTTAAGCTGCTAATCAGATATCCAAGCCTATTCGAACGGTTTGGTTACCTATCGCGTGAGCGTCGTTATACAGGGTGTAACAAAAATGTTTTTCCTTAGCAACAATGTAATCTGAGGCTTCGTTACTGAGATATTAACGAAAAACCCCGACCAATCAGAGCGCGAATTTACCAGTCGAGTTCTCGCGGTAGCGTTGGCTACAAATCGCAGCGCGTAGCCACTGCTGGCGTGGGAACTCGGCTGGCAAACTCGCGCTCTGATTGGTCAGGGTTTTTCGTTAATATCTCGGTAACGAAGCCTCAGATTACATTCTTGCTAAGGAAAAACTTGTTCCAATTCACCCCCCGAGTTCCCCATTTCCGGATCGGACAACATTTTTGTTACACCCTGTATATATCGCAGCAAATCAAATTTAACGTTTCCACGGACGAGGTCACGGTCACGGATTACGACGGTATTGCAACGGCTTCGTAGTTTTTGTGGTGCTTCGGGGCACACCTATAAATCCCGTTTACGTGTCCGCGAAGCCTCCAATCGTTCCCAGCCGTCCCTCGATCTGACTCAGCTGGTCGCCTCTGGAAGCATTCCCGGGTGCAGCCGTTCGCATGAAGGAGCGACGGCGCCCGTACGTCGAAGCGTTCGGCGTCTAGCAGGGATGACCGAGGACGTGGGCGCCATGCTCCAGAAAGGGCTGACCGATTGGTGGAACGAGGAGACCGAGTATGTGTTCCAACGGATCGAACGATGGGCCGCGTACGCGAGAGGCTACAACCGTCTCAGATCCCAGAGACTATCCCGCGGACGGATGACCATGCAGGGGGGCCAGGAGCCACGGTGGAGCATCTCCTCGAACAAGCTGATCATCGACGACTCGTCCTGGAGCCCACGTTTCCACACGCTGAAGAGATCACGCCGAAAGTCGCGGTCGGAGGAGACGAAGATCAACTGCTGCGGCACGTTCAACTATCAGTCGAACAGCAATCTGGACAGCAACTGTTTGGAGGCGTACAGGTACGATCACAGTATCTATTTTAAGACGATCGGCGATATTCGGAACAGCAAGAAGGATCAGACCGACACCAAGAACGAGCACGACGACAGGATCTCTGTCGGTAGCGAGGAGCTCGTGGAGTGGGATGTCAGCTCCGTGTCGGACTTCATAGCCAACCAGCTCCTCGAGGATGGATTGACCAGCGAGAACATCAAGACCATCTTTACGACTGGATCCGTTCAAAATGTTGATGCGGTCGATTCCGTTACCTGGTCCAACGTGGATCTTACGAAGCTATGTTTGAACGAGGAGGATCTGCCAGTTGTCGACGAGGAGAACAACGAGGATCACTCGACGATGGTGAAGATCGAGGGGGAAAGGAATAATAATTGTATAGAGGATAAGATGTTCGTGGTGGACGCAAACTTGAAGAACCAACAGATGTTCCTCAGTCGCGTTAAGACGGATGGGAATGATATCGAGGATTCGCAAAGTGACGAGGAAGCGTCCAGGAATGTTCAGCAATCGACGATTGTGATTGATAATGATGCGATCTGGCCGAGTGTTTTATTAAGTTACACAAATGGTATCGATAATATTGGTTCTTCGTATCATTATCGTGATACACGGAATTATGTAGATTACTAAATTGAAGATTCTCGACGTGTAGAGATGGTGAATGAATTCAAACTTCTAATCGTGATTAGACTTCAAATATACTGAATTTTCTGGATGATTGATTATGAGAAAGTTATTAAATCGATTGGAAATATATGCAACATGCCACTTTTAAATGTGTATGTTAATTGTTTCTTGTTTCGCCGTAATATTAAACAAATATCATCCGTTTTCGACACACAAGTATATTCTGTGTAATTATTCATTGAATGTATTTACAGATGTCGGTCGATAAAACGTAAATAATACTAGGGTTACCAAAACACAGCAGCAATTACAGGGATACTTTGCACATACGGTTAATGACTCTTTTGTATTTTATCGTTTAATTTTATCCATTATTTATAATTTACGATAGATCAATTTTGTATGAAAATAATTTGAAGTAACGAGAGTTGTTCCGACATACACTACCGCTCATAAGTTTAATCGCACAACGGAAAGGTTTAGTCACGCATACAATATTCGGATATTTGACGTTGTCGTGCTTTGCCCGGTTTGATATCTTCGTATCGTGTAATACACATATTCCAGCTGTAGTTCCCAAATCTGATTGTTGTCTTTCAGCCATAGTTTTCAGTAATAAAACAAAATTGTAACCGAACTCCATACGCACGCAATAATATTGTAACCAACTTGATTGTTATTTCAATACTCAGTTTAAAATATAGTTAAAGTCTCCTTAATTGTTTTCCATGCAAGTTAGTATGTATCATACCACGTTGAAATGTATTATGTATGTTAGAAAGGAAACACGAACAGAGTTACTCCATATCTTCCCTTTATTACATAGTGTTTATTACGACTATACATTACCCCCCAATTTCAAGTAATATTATGACAGAACACAATTCATTTTTCTCCTATAGTTACTGTAAGTTTTACTGCACCTCAGCGGATGCGATTAAACTTATGAGCTGTAGTGTACGTACCCCAATAAACTTGACGTTGAACTAAACTTTATCTTTCTCAATGTGTTATTTGATTACATGTTCAATAATTTGATACATGTTTTAATAATTCGCGGGTACAAATGAAGATTTAATATTGTGAAAAGTATCATCGGAAGAAGAGTATTCAGATAGGACTAAATTATTGTGTTTTTATCTGTAACTAGATAATCATACTTTCAATGATATATGTATATCAATCAAATACTTTTAGGTATAATAAAATGTATTATACGTATTATAGAACGTTGATTGCGAATGTTGAAGCACTATTCAATTCATATAACATAATGGTCAGTATTATAAGTATTTATTATTACTACTTATTATACAGGGTAGACCACGAAACGAGAATTTACTGTACTTGTATGCAAAGAGTGCAAGTAAAAAGTGTCGTTTGCAGAGGCAAGTAATCGTGGACTTGGATTCAAACTTATTATTTCATCCTGATGTGGAAGAAAAGATATACAATCTGGACCTTTTATAAACAACGGCTATGAAATCAATCGTAGAGTAATATTTGTGATGCGACTTTTAGGCATTGACAGGAAAAGTTTGAATGTGTTTTATGCCCTTCGGGATATTAGACCTGGCATAAGCAGTAGTGCATATTATCTTATTGTCCAATATTCTTTTTTAATTTATTGGATACACGGGCAATAGAATAGGACTTGGCTAACACGTTGTCATCACATTCTGTTTCTACTTATTGCCACCATGAATGCACGCGTACTCGATGAAATTTTCAAGTGGTTTTTCTTGAAAGTGAAGCTTCGTGTGAAAAAAATTTATTCTTCTTTTTCGAGTTATTCTTACTTATGCAATCGCCTCCTGTTTAGTTGTACATACAACATATACTGTATTAATAATGTATTATAATTACAGGAAACTCATCATTAGACTGCGGATTTTTATGCAAAATAAAATTATATAAAGTAATTCTTAAAGACACGAACAGTTGTCGGAATTTTTATCCTCTCTTAAATATCTTGAGTTACGAATAAAACAGAAAACTCGTTGCATCCGATAAAAGTTTTGTCATTTATTGCATTTCACGGAGCTCTAGAATTTATAACTATAGAAAATCCGCAGTCTACTTATCATCAATTCTAAAACGGTAAGAAGTTATCTTCAAGTCTGTTACTGTTATAAACAAGTTTAAAAATTCATCTGACACATTCATTTGTGCTCACAGTCACAGTAAGTAGAAACAGTGAGTAACGAGAAACACGTTCTCCAAAACCTATTCATTTCGCGGCGTTGCAGAACTTCTGTTGACTGTTTATACGTTATTTGTGTCTTTTTGGTAACATATTTATAGTCGTTGGATTTCTCATGATTCATTCTAATAAAAAAAAAATATTTAAAAAATCCTGTTTGGACATCCATATACCCGAAAAAAATGCAGATAAAGAAATTCTGATTCACGAAAATTGTACAGGCTTAAATACAGTTTAACTGTCGTTTAAGTCGATATTTTCATGGAAAGTTCTGAAATTTCATGGCGACACCCACTGGGGCACACTTCATAGCATATATGTATATCATACCCATTTATATTTTCAATTGTTTCTTCCATTATTACAATTAATATTAATACTCGTAGGAAAAGTAATTCGTGTTTATACTGCCATTTTGCTCTTCCCGTTCTCTATTTTGCTAAGAGTACTTCGTACACCACTAGAAAGATACTTCAGAAAAAAGAAAAACGTGATATAATAGCCTCGGATTATGAATTGATTTAAAAAGAAAATATGATTCTCGGTCGGTATATCGGAAAAAACCAATTGTGCGTTAAAGGGTTAAAACACGAGCCTCTCGTAAGGATCAGAAATTCGTGTAACGCGCATGCGCCGACTGGTGGGGCAAGCCACGCACATAACCCACCACACATACACGTAAACTCTTGTGCAATCTCGCTGCAAATCGATCGTCCTCGCGCACTTGTTACAAGAGAACGGTGCCCAGTGTGCTTTCCGAAAATTGAATCGAGAGGCCGTCTGTGGCTGACGGGTCCGCGAAAGGTTACCGAGCCGAAGGGAAACCATGAGCAAGCGTCTGCAAACGGTGGCCACGATGGCCTGCATGAAGACCCTGCTGATGCTCTTTAACTTCGTCTTTCTGGTAAGCCAGTCTATTCTCACGCAATAACCGCCCTTGACACGTAGACCCGTGCACCTAATCCTCGGTCCTGAGACGAGGATAACCTTCCACCCAACTGTTGCGCAATTCGTTATAGCCTCGCGGCCGGTCATGCTGATGGTAGAATTCTTGACAATACAACGAAACTGATGGTTTTGCGTGCGAATACCGACGAGCAATGTTTTCGAAGCTTTGAGAATGCCTATTCGAACCTGTATCCGGTGAACTCTACGGCCTGGACGCGCAATATGTTTAAATTTTGGGGGTGTCACTTGTCTGTGAATCAGTTGAAATGAAGGTGTTAATGGTGGATTAGCGTAGAACAGATTCTTGGGTCTACTTCTACGTCACATTTTCGATGCTTCGAACGTCCATCGGAACATCTTTCGGCGAACTTTACGGTTTTACTGCGATTAGGCAGGCAATATGTGTAAAATTTGTGGAGTAACTTGTCCGTGAGGCAATTGAAACGAAGGTGTTACGGTGGAATAGCGTGGAACAGATTCTTGTGACTAGTTTTACGCAATATTTTCGAAGCTTCGAATGTCTATCGAAACTTCATTCTGGTGAACTTTACGGTTTTATTGCGACTCGATGCGCAGTATGTTTAAAATTTTGGGAATTGTGGTCATTGTTAATTACTTGAAATGAAAGCTTTATGGTGGAATAGCGTGGGACGGATGTTTACGGCTACGTAACATCCACTCTTTTCGGTTGATCTTCTGATTTTATAGTGTTTTGATCTAGGAATATTCTAAATAACGAGAATTATTTGTTATTTGATTCATAGAAATGAGAATATTATGGAGAAATGGCGCAGAAAAGATTTTCTGTGCTACCCCTACGCCAATGTTTTCGAAGCATTGAACATTTATTGAAATTTAGTCAATCCTAAGCCTTTACTGCGATTTGGTGCATGGTATGTTGCAAATTTGAAAGTTATTTGTCCGTTAAATAATAGAAATGAGTGTTATAGCAAAATTAGATAGAAAATATATTTTACAATGACCTCTTATAACTTATGTAAATTACTCTGTGAGTTGTTGATATTGCATAGAAATAAAGTAATACTCTGGAAATGATTTATAAAAAAGAATATTGAACGCGGGTGCTTCTCGTGTATATTTTTTGTTTATAGAAGACATCGTTAAGTATGCCATATTGATGCTTTTTGAGCCATTTTAAATGTTACATATTACAGTAATATTGAATTGCAGAAAATGTCGAACTGAATACGTTAATATTACCTGAAATTTAAATACTAAATGTCTGAAAACATTTATTCACGTTTATTTGAAACCATATTGACCATGAGGCATACACTCTACCTTTATTATATTATTCAGAGCAATACACTTTTAGTGTTTTTGAAAAAATTCTTTTCAATCTTTTTCGTTTCTAAATTTGCGTCGTTAATTGTTCATAATACAATTTGTTCTGGATAAAACAGTTTATAGGGATAAACGTTTTTGTGCCACATGTTTTAATTGAATTACACAAGCAAATAACTGAATAATGAGAAGAAACACTAAATTTGATTGGTAATATGATAAAATTGACGAAGTATAATTACGTGCTTATTAGATATACACGCATTGTAAAAACTGTAACAACTGTACTTTATGACAAAAAGTGTAAGTATTCGATTTTCATGTTACTACATTATAATATTTGCAACGTGGATATTTCATTACATTGTAAGATTTTACGTAAAAATGAAATGAATTGAAATTTTAACAAAATTATCGATACCAGTTCTTCGTTCATGTAGGGTATATAGAAATAACCGTACGATTTTATTTTTTACTAACATTATGCTTTTGTATTCACATCTTTTCACTTCAAAATTTTATTTTATTTCTACTTTGTTCATTATATTTTAAGTACTTCAATTTTATTTTATTTTATTTGAATGTCACAAATTTCTGACTTTCGTACTAAGTCACATGAAAAGTTATTAAATGTGTATGAAATATATGTATGTTTTTAAAGTTTTTATCATTTATCGGTAACGTTAAAAGCTGCTTTTAAGATTTTTATCGCGGTTACGCATTTATCTGTACAGTTCATTCATATCAATGTACATATATGTATATGTATAACACACATTATGTAAAATGACAATGAATGAAATTCTTTTTTTTATAATAGAATATGCCCATAAAGGGAATAGGATACACTTCGAATAAGGAAAAAAAGTAAATAATAATTGATGTAAAAAAGAATATTTATCCATTACACTTGACACTGACTTATAAAAATTGAAGGTTGACAAATTTGAATTATTTCTTACATACGATATGTAATATTTTTATTATGCTTAGAACGTTAAACACTATACTGTTAAGTACTGTACCACTTCTAATTATTGTTTATGATAAACCATTTCTAAAAGAGAGAATTAACGAAATGTATTTATTATGTTGTTATTGTCAGTAACTGTAAAGTTTGTTCTTAATATTTTCTGTTTGCTAAATGTTTTCTAAAGAAACATTTTATTATGTAATAAAGTAAAGTTTTTTGTGAATGATAAGATTAATTTGACACACTTCTCTTGTTTGTTCAACAATTGTTTTCGCTGCTCCAAGAGTTATTCATAATGAAGAAATATATGACAAAGAAGTTTATCTTTTAATAACGAAATTGAATTTCAATTGAAGAACTATTACAGAATGATTATTATACATACATGCAACAATGATGTTTGGATAATTTCAATTTAACATAATTCTGAGAATACAATTTTCGAATTTTGTCTGACCCTTTTTGTAAAGGTCTTTAATTATATACGTGTCTATTACCTTTTCAAATACATGGATGAAATATCAGAAGAGAGTAACGAGATTACGCTTACGTAATAATATCGATTTCCTAGGCAGTGACACTGAAACCCACATTTTTTCGGGCAAAACTGTGGTCTCCAAATAAAATCTATGAAGGTTTTTTTTGTAGAATTTTCTTCATAATGAAAAAAAAGACAGTAAGGTTCTATTTCTTTGGAAAAACTTGTATTTTACAGTACAATATCTATATTTTAATATTTAACTGTTGAAAAGTATCAATGTTAAATGTAGAAGTAATGTAAAATTAATTAAAAGCAATATAAATGTAAGAAACGTTCACAATGTCGACAATTATTTTTTGGTTAATAATAAGTTTAAATGTCACTCATTTATCATGGGTAGTTAATTATCATTATCTGCATTGCTATCGGCATCCTGTAGGTGGTATCAACAGCGTATGGCCGTCATTATACAATTGTATGACTATAAACAGCTCACTTAATGCTAACAAATAAATTAAGGTCACCGATTAATCTACAACAGGGGTCGTCAACCTTTTAGTACCTACCGCCCACTTTTGTATCTTTGTTAATGGTAAAATTTTTTAACCGCAATTTAGCGTAAATGCTTTTTAGTAATTTTTAGAGAGAAGGGTTTATAAAAAATATATAATTAAATTTATTTTTTTATTTATACTTTATACATAGATAATCGAAGTTTAATAAGTGTCTGCATCTCGACCGATACAGCGCCTACTAGTGCGGGAGTTACTTAAATTGAAGAAAAAGAAATTAATGATTAATGGTTAATGAGATCCTTGAGGCTGATGCTGCGAGACAAAATATTCGATATCTGGACGCGTGCTTACTCTTACAAATCTAACCACGTATTGCCCCTCAACATGGAAGATGTTAAGGCTCGAAGACTGAGGCTTGTTACAGTGTGCAAATTACTTACGACTTACACTGTATGGAGCGTTCACAGTTCAGCGGATGGTCCGTTCGCGGAGGAGCCACATTTTCACGTAAATCAGTATATAATGACACAACAGCGCCTTTTAAGGCACTTTTTCAGAATTGATCCGGCACTAAACTTCGCGGTTCAGTACTTGGGGAGTTAAATGGTCAAACTCGAGAAGTTGTTAGAAATGTATTCGATATATGGAGGAAAAACAAAATTTGTAACAACGGACGAAAACCTCCATCGCCCACTAGTGGGCGGTAGGGACTAGGTTGACGATCACTGATCTACAATGTTATAGCGTGCCTAACGAACCTGGTAAAAATATTCAGAATTGCGTTATAAAAAGGTAATTAGAAATATTAAATTAAAATAACGAAATAGCGTAAAAACAAGGTTTGTAATTTGAAGTTTTCAAATTTGAGGTTTTTCAAACTGTTTTACACTTTAACACTTTAATATTTTCTCAGTCATTTCATTAATTTCATTTTCTAACGCAAAGATTTAATTTTGAATTTTCTTTGGAAAGCTTTTCAAAAAGAAATTGCAAAAGAACTTTTCATTATAATTAATCTGAATTTACCAAACTGTTTCTGCGTCAAGTAGAATAGTAATAACTCATGCATTCACCTCAATCGACCCAATGGAATTCGAGGTCTCGTAGTTTCCGAACTAGTTTATCCTGAAATTGAATTGACTAGAGAAGAAATTAGTTTGCGATTGCTTTATCAGGGATCTTGTTGTATTTCTTTTAGCAATGTCTTTTAATACCTTCGATTAACAATAAACCGTAAATTGTATCTGCAATAAAATTGGGCGATTTAACAATAACAGTTCACCATTCTGTTAGGTATAACTTTATACGGAAAAGTATATGATCGACAAATAACTTCTACATTTCTTGAACAATGTACTTTTCCTCATCGCGCGTTCTGATGAAAAAATGAGAAAGACAAAACGAAAATAGTAAATTACATTACGATACAGATTTTATATCCTAATACTCTAATACATAACATTCGTTACATTTTGTGTATTATTAAAATGGTAACAAATATTAATATATCCTAGTACTAGTAACCAATCAAGTCCAATTATTTAAATTTGTTTATTATCGAAAAGTCTGCATGAGTTTGTTTCTAACATTTTTCTACTTTTTTCTAACATTTAGAATAAAGACAACAGTCTTTCTACTGGCGCGGATGGTTGGTACTGGTATATTGCGTCTAACGAATAGTTTGTTTTTAATAATCTATTACTTTTCCAAAACAATAATTTCTACAACAACACAAGTACGGAATAACTAATTTCCTTTAAGTAAGGAGTAAACGTGATTAATAAATACTAAATAATAGATAAGAATATCTCACACAAATAATGGCTAATTGGATTTATGAACAACTCGGACAAGAAAGATTTATTTATTTGGTATTCTTATTTCTATGAAAACTTTATTCGCATGATGCCCAATAGTGGTGCACTTAAATATGTGTACGACAGCTACTTTGCCCGACAATATAGTGTGTAAGTTTGGGAATGCTTCTTTTTATAAGAACACAACTGAATGTTGGTATAATGTTTAGTATATAGGCGTAGGCAGGTTGTCAGCCAGGACGGGGGGGGGGGGGGGCAAAAATATTAACACATTGACTGCCACAGTGAAAAAGGCTGTACATAGCCAGAAACACTTTATTTTGTTTTTAAAGTCATAAATCGTGGAGAATGTATGCGTTTTGTTAATAGAGGCTATTGGTCGTGTTTCAAATTTTTCTTCACCAGCGTATCTTACATGTACAATAATTTCAGGTGTCCGGCATATTAATAGTATGCGCCAGCCTTTGGATGCGAGCTCATCTTCGACACTACGTCGACATGAACAATGATGGCAGTGGTGCCGTTTTGATAGCCCTGATATGCTTGGGTGTGATTTTGACCGTGGCAGCAATCTTTGCCTGCCGTTGCACAGCTCGAGGTCATCCGGCTCTTTTGTACTTGGTAAATGCTATTTACATATATTATGCTCTTGTATAAAAAATTTCGTTGTTGAACAGCAGAGTTTCCAATCATTAGCGAAGAGTTTCCTTTAGCGAACTTCCAGGGTGCTTAAGATACAATGTACACTAGCATTGAAACGTTAAACCTTTGAGCTAGAATTAGTTAAATTTCCACCTGTACACGGTCCCGTTAGAGGGGACAAATGAGCGACTTAAACAAGTATTCATTACACGTATCAGATGTATAAAATAGTAGCAGCTGTTATTCGGTCAAATACCTATTGTCTACTACTTTCGAACAATTGCTACAAGATTTCTTACTTGTAATAACTACCCTTATTTTCGATAGTTCGTTTTTTGACATTTCTCTGATAAAAGAGGAATCTTCCATCGATAAAAAAATGATATCTTACTACTAACTTAAGTGCCACAGTCGTTACTTTTGCACACACCCGATACAATCGAATAAAATTCTCGAACGAAGAAATAAATTTCTCTTCGATACCTGGTTTTCGTGAATTTGATTATGGTTTACGTAACTGTTTACAATCTGGTAATTATTGTGATAATGCGATTGTTACAGAAAATTCTATTTTCAGTACGGTGCGTTCTTAGCTGTCGTGGCATTGCTCGTACTTGGATCCGGTGCATCAGTTTACGCATATCGTACGAGCTTCAATGAAAAATTCTACGAAGCTCTGAACGAAAGTATGGCAGTCTACAGACAGGATGAGGTTAAGACCGATCACATCGATAGTATGCAATCCACTGTAAGTGTTTGCAATGATGTTGCGAAATTCTATAGTCCAATATAATAATTGTAACAGAAGCTCAATCATTTCCGGATTAGAAAATTCCGTCAATGGACCGAATGTCAATTCTATGAATTCTGTGCAAAGTATCCAAGTGTCTATTATTTTAGGCCTCTATTATGGAACGTACAAAAATTTATATAGAACGGTGTGCAAAGAAAATGATAATTTTCATTAATTTTAAATAAATCCAAAGATTGCACTTGATTCGATTCATGACTTGCAATACCTTATCGAATCGGTCGATTCAGGATCCAATTATTTCTACATTTTAAAACCTAATTCTAATATGTTCAGAACTCATAAATTACCAGAAAAATAGTGGACTTTTTATGCAAATATAAATCACAATCATTTCGAGAAAGTCGATTTTACACGTACAGATGTATAATGAGAATTTCAATATTATTTAAGTTAATCTTTACTTGAATAGTTATGTAAATAAAAAATTATTTTTTCATTTGGAAATTCCAATAAAAAGGAAGAAATAGTTGTTTTTTTATTTCAACAAATCTACATAAATTGTTTATAATAATATTATTTCTTACAAATGTAGCTTCATTTTCTGAACTTCATGTCTTTATTTTCTTCCACTATCTTGTGAAAATAATTTAAAGTAACATTATAGAATGAATAGTGACATATTCATTAAACAGCGATTATTATAAATACAGTACCTAAATAAGAATTGTTTTTCTAAGAAAAATCAGCCGATGATTATTTTATACATATATCATAAAGCTCACGAATAACTACATATGCGGTAGAATAGACAAATCTTATTTATCTTGGACCAGCATGATTAAATAATGTACGTTTTTGTTATCAGTTGCAATGCTGCGGTAATAAAGGTTACACCGACTGGTTGAACATCTACCCGCAGAAAATCCCACTATCTTGTTGTAAAGTGGCAGCGGAGAACTGTGACACCACTGACACGAATGACATTTATACTCAGGTAAGTAAACTGGTAAAGTTATTTGGGACGTTGTTCCTTTATTTTCGAATAGAAGTATGGCGACAAAGAGAATGTTTGAAATTATATATAACCGAAAAGTAAATTAGATATCTGATGTATAACGAGTGAAATTCATTTAAGAATTTTGTATATAATTGAAATAATAACAAATATTAATATTAATATTGAGTAATATTGATATTAATCATAGTGTTAGCGATCAATTAAATTTGCATTTACTACGATTTTTTCTTCAGAAAGTTCATCAGAAAGTATCTGCGTGATTTCGAAACATTTACCGTCGTGGCAAACGAAAAATAATTCTTCCTACTGATGCAAATTACAGTATTGATGTGTCGTATGTAATATATAGTTTATTTATGGTAGAAGATATTTTCAAACGCTGAAGCCCATGCAATAACATAACTACGGAACAACCAATTCCCTTTCTGAGCAGTAAACCCGAATAAGCAATAATAAATAAAGAACGACGAATGAGACTATCACATACGAATAATGGATAATTGGATTTACAGATAACTCGAATAACAAATAATTATTTATCCGGTATCTCTATTTAAGTAGCAGTTTATTCCAAGTTTTCCCAATGCTGGGTAGTTGAAAGGACATTTAGCCAATAATGAAAGCTAACTGCAAATGCAATAAAAGTAGCGTGTACTATTCAGAGAAATAATCGTCTGTGTTGGTAATACCGAGAGACATTTATTTTCCTTTAAAAATAAGAACAAAATATAGTTCTATGTTGTAACTTGCATACGGTCAACATGATTCTTATAGAAAGATTAACATTTATGACAGGGGAATTTTCCCAACGTAGCGATTCGAAAACCAACCCGTAACGTTTTGTTTTTAAGTTTGCCGTTAGTGGTAGACGCTGATCATAACCTGATATTCTTGGACAGATGAAAAACACTTGCAAGGCAATCAAGCATTTTTAGCTAATTTACGGGTTTCCTTTGCATCTGATTTCCAAGAATTCCAGGTTTAATGGAGAAAGGGAAATTTGGTACATCGTTCCCTTTTCCACAATTACCAATCAATTTTCCACAGCCATACAAACACAAAAACACTAATAATACACAAACATATCCATAGCATCGAACACTGATCAACCAATAGACACACGTACAAAGCCAAGATAGAACCGAACAAACAACAACAAGCACCATTTAACAAACAACTACGAACGAGTTCACTTAACCCTCCGAGCACGGAAACATGGTGATCGGTCCCTATGTTATTTCTGACCCCACACCGATATTCTCCTACTACACAGCGACTGTACTAACACAGTGCCAGTATGGCTCGAGCTCGAGACCCTCACCGATATTACTACCCAGTGACCATGTATATAATGTAATGATTAGCTGGTTCCACATTACATTTGGATTTTCGTGGTTCTTATTACATTAACTAGAATAAAAATCGCGTGAATTATAAAACAAATTATATTTATTAGTCAATACTTCTGCAGCGTCTTGGCCCGGTCGTTCGCATGTAAACAAACATCGGTCGCTATGCGATTTACGCGCAGCTCCGTCACTGCATGCGTGTCGCTCTCGAGACCGTGTGACCCAGGGACCGTGCTCGGAGGGTTAACCAGCAGTGAGATGTCGGACATTTATTACAAGCCTTAAGTAGTACATTTAGTACCCACATCAGACAACAGTTGACTCTGTATTCTTACTTTCCAGCATCCCGATAATATTAATTTGTCCTTTGGGAAGCAAAGTTCGCTAAGTAGTCCTATTGACTAGGGATGGGTTTCTCGAAACGTCGAAACGCCTGGAAACCCATGAATGTTTCGAGTTTCGAGAATTCGTAACTTTGCACATTTTTCGTGATTAGAAACTCTCGAAACCCGGGTAATACGTATTATAAGTGGTATTATTTAGTGGCAGTAAAAGGTAGGAATTGTTGAAGTATCAAGTGTTAGTGCTAAAAAAAGGATAAGATATTGTTGTGTTTTGTTCAATTATGGCCAATAAAGATTTATGCAAAAATTTTGTTGATTTCAGCTCATAAAATCAAATCAATCTTCTTACAAAACAAAGTCAGTGTTTCAAATTTCGAGAGTTTCGAAATCTTACAAAGTTTCGAATTCGAGTTTCGCAAATTGAAAAATTAAGTTCAAACCTATCCCCACAATCGAAAGTTTTTGTGAATATCATCGTAACACTATATCAACGTAATAATCATGAATTCGATAATCTATGTCGTGCGATTCAATGACAGACAACGTTAAAGCTTCGTGGAAGAATGAGAAATCCTTTGCGTGAATCTGATATTTGCGAAATTATTATTTTCAGGGCTGTTATACACGAGTCCTCGACTTAATAAACAGCAACATCGGCCTGGTCGCTGGAACAGCAATCGGCGTGGCGATCTTCCCGTTCATGGGCGTTTTCTTGGCGTGTTGTTTGGCCAGCAACATCAACAAAGTCAAGTACGAGCAGGTTGCTTAAAGTTTCCGTCGCTCGCAGAAAAGTTCGCCGTACCAGTAAAAGAAATCTGCATCGTTCGAAAGAACGGCGTCGTACCGATGCCAACTAACAATCTCTATTCTATGATAACAATGTCCAAAGTTGCACGAACGCGCACAAAAAAAAAACATTTGAAAACTATACACATATTAATTAACGTTAACGTATAAAAATCTTGCAAGACGGCCCCGTTTTCGTCGTCGATTCTCATCTTTCGCTTGAGACCACGGTACGATCGAAGCATAGCAAATATGGATTTCTTTAATTTCATCCCCCGTGGCATCTTCTCTGTTACAAAACCGTTTCGTTGGAAAATCTTAGTTTTCGCGCGACAAGCAAAAGAAAAAGTGAAAAATATGAACTTTAATGCATATGACAAGTCGGTATTACGGATCGATATGTTCGATTACATCTTCGCGAATAAAAAGTGTTTTGACAGAGGTCACTATTTGTCGTAAGTTCGAGTCTGATTTTCTACAGGCTGCTATTTGTTCCGATAAACCGCTTAAAGGGTCCTCTGAATACATTCATATCGAGATGAGATTGAACTAATATCCTTACGAGTAGTTAAACCGTAATACTTCAAGTGAAACTTGTAAGCATATTTGACGAAATTTTGTTTAAGATTTTGCTACAGAATATATTCCTTAACCGATTTGCATCATTTGGAAACATCGTGACTATGCTCGTGTCAATATATTTTATTCTTTGAATCGATATCATATGTAATAAGACAGATTCAAAACACGTAATTTTCATAATTCGATTCAACCCCAGTGTGAAATCACTAGTAGCATAATGTGCAGAATTTTCCATAAACTTATAAATTGAGTGGGTCCAAATGTCATACAAGAAAAAAAGATATTTGATTATAAGGCAATGAATCGATTGATTATGTAGATGACACAAAAATGATCGATTATGTAAATGATACAAAAAATATTCTTGGCGCCACTAACATCGTTGAAAGTTTGGCGTAAATTCCTATTGTATGTTATTAGATTCGATTATAATTCGTAACAATGGCGGGGCGATATGAACGAATATATGTACTTGCTCCTAATACAAATCGGTTAAGAAATCATTCGGCAAACGAACAACAATTGATACTATTTTCTAAATATCAGTTGAAGGTTCGGAAATTTTTTCCCAAATGATCTAAGCTTAATAACAAGCAACCAGATGTGTTAAAAAATAATAGCCGTCGCGTATAAGTTGGTATTGTAGTTCAATATTATTTCATTGACAAGAAATTTAACTTTTGCAAGAGAAATGGTAAGAAGTTAAAGAAAATAAGGGAATCTATTTTTTGCAAGAAGTATGGTAATAATTCTTCTATATACCATTAGTGAACATTTCCGACCAAAAAACGGCCCATTACATTTGCACATTACCTATTTATATGTCGCGTACATAATTTTTGTTTAACTGATCGAAATCGTTTAAAGCTCAACAGAATATCGGTGCCGCTGAAAAACCCGACATTTCACTGCGCAGACCTAATAATTTGAGCAATTCCTACTATTATGCGTTATCCTTTGGATGCACGATTTGCTGCGCGAAAATTGGAAATAATTTCACCTATGCGTAAACTTACAAGAGTTATTGGGAATGTAATTTCACGTGATTGCGTGGACACCAAAGGGAACGTTCAGAGAAGCTGTTGCTCCCTTGTTTCGGAAATTTCGTGAAGGGAAAATGTTCGGTAATATTTGGCCATAGTTTATTCGATAAAAGATGCAGGTTCTTCGGTACATTTAGTTAGCTCCCGTTCAATTAGATTTATAAAAGTCGACTACGCATGCGATACAGATTTTTTGTGCTTCGTTACCGAGTTACGTTGTTCAGCAATAATAGAAACACCCAATGGAAATTCAATGTTTGCCTCGGGTTCTTATGATGTACACCAAACTACAGTTCTCGCCAAGATATAGTGCGGTTATAAAATCGCTCAAGTGAAGAACACACGTTTCGAGCATAGAAACATTCATTTAAGAGATCAGAAGGGAAATAAGCCACTTGAACGATGTTCAGTGTGGTACAATGTTAATTCAGTTTGTTGACAACAGCCCATGAAAAGTTAAAAGTTCTTTCAAATATTCCAAATATTAAACAAAATTTGCAGTTATCCCTGTAGTAAATGAACTGCAGTTAGTCGACAGCGTTTTCAGTTTTATTGCATGGAACACTATAACTGAAAGTCTCACGTGTCTCCCTATATCTTGACGAGGACTATATGATTTATTCGTTGTGAACGATTTAGTCGGTGGAACCTATATAGTGTGGTTGTAAAATTTGTCAGGCGTGAAAATTTACAAGTTTCACGCGCCGAAGCAGCAATTAGGGGTACATAAGGAATTTTTGCCATCTGCAGGACCGTCAGAGATCTTCTATAAAACGATCATTTTGATCGAGCAAGGAGAGATAGGAACTTAATACAGTACAGTTTTAATGAAAGAGTATAAGCAGAAATTTTAAATATCAATTCACAAATGACTTCTGCATCCTAAAACTTAAGGTACATACCTGTATGTATAGAACGCGTACGGCCCTGGATGCAGTTACATTGATAGGTGTCGCTGCTTCATGTTCCTCGTGTATTGCTCGACCGTTCTTTCACGAGATTTGCAACTTAAGTAGGCACAACTTATTGGCACGTGGTCAACTTTCCACCGCACCGTACAACCGTAAACCTGATCGTCTCACTCGCGAACCGAACGACCGCCGTACAACGTTACGCCACGTTTTCTAACCTCCGTACAAACTTCGCGATCCGTCTCAATCTCTCGATCCCGGCTGAGCCCCCAATTGTAGGATTGATTATATCGAGGTTGACGGAAATGAAGAATACGGTTGGGTTACGATAACTAATAATTTAATAAACGAAAATAGAATACAGAACGACTTAACAACATGTTACTTCCGATTGTTACAACGTAAAACGCCGATCGCCACTTGACGGAAATGAAGAATACGGTTGGGTTACGATAACTAATAATTTAATAAACGAAAATAGAATATAGAACGACTTGACAACATGTTACTTCCGATTGTTACAACGTAAAACGCCGATCGCCAGGCCACCTCTCCGCGCTCCCTGATTCCCCCGCGAAACAATCGTCGCGCCCGGCCGTAGTCGCAGACTCCCGACCAACCTATCCCTCATTACTATTAGTGTTTGTAAAAATCAGTAGAAGAAACAAGAAATTCTAAAAAAATAATTTGCTAGGTAATATGTAGATTATAATTTATAATCATTAATTTATTCATTATTCTTCATTGTTTCTAATTATTCTTTCACTTTATACGATATAACTCGAATTTTTGTTTTGTTGTCGTTAATATAAAATATACAGATTATGTGTCGCGTGTAAAGAACTGTTAGGTTTCTCCACCAAGCAGAAACGATCACGAGAAATCACGAATCACTGTAAAAAATAGCATTTCATGCCATCACGAGTGATTTACAAATAGCATTTCATGCCATCACGAGTGATTTACAAATAGCATTTCATGCCATCTCTACACGCTACGTATAGGTTCCACAGATTATACATTGTCGATCGTTCAGACTAGGTATCTGAAGAACCGTGTTTAACGATATATGGGAAAATGATTAAAACACGTGATATTTCGCAGTAAACAAAGTATGGTATGAATAATGAGGAATCCTATATTAATTTACTGAAAAAATCTTAATTGCGCTTTCAGCTCGGTTTTCATGCATATATAAACTGTGATGAAAGTAGGTACCGAACACTAAAATATTAATATAATCAAGGTAACCGTGGAATTCAAAAGTCACTCGTCTACGATTGTTCCTTTTTTGTCTGTTTCTTTGAATGAAGCCCTGTAAGGTAAGCATTATCAAAAGCGTATTGCGAGAAATTAAAATCTCGAAAACCGAAGTGAAAAGTATGATTTGTTTCCTAGATATAGTAAATACATTTGAAATAACAGTCTGTTTAGGAAATTTAATTAATGACCAGTACGTTATAAAGAAAATATTTCGCAGATTATTATTATCATGTGACCACCTGTCGAACGCTACAAAACACAGACGAATCCGAAAAGCTGTAAATCGATTAAATAATTTCGATTTGCTTCCGTTAAAGGAACATCGTTTCTGATCTCGAATTAACAATTCTTTTTTACACAGAGTATCCCACCGTTGGGTTCGAACCTTACAACAATAAACAAGACTTTCGTCAGCCTAACTTTAGATTATAGATGCCACTGATACATTCTGTTGTTTTATCTTGCTTGCGTTAGATCTTTGCGTACATTAGCTTTATATACCAGCAGGTATTTTGCACATTAAAAATGAATGATCGTTCGTTTATACAGAAATAGTGTCATTTAAGCCTTTCGCGCAATTATTTCCGAACATAATAGTCGTTTAAACAACTGTTAATACGTTAAATTGTAGTAGGCTGCGACTGTTTCTTCATATGTCATAGACTATTTGGAAAGAATCAAAATAAAAAAATTTATTTAAATACTTCAAGAATAATATTGAATTGAGGATTGGAAAAACGATTCCATGAATTTCTTGGTCAAATTTTCTAGTCTTGCGTTTTACGTGTTTGTGTGCGTCGTAGATGCACAAAATCCATAATCTAGTAGTTAGAATTATGAGTATACAAACTCTGAGCAAACAGAAAGAAAGAAACACGGTTTTAATTATTTAAAACATTCTTTGAAGGGGGAAAACAAAATAAGCAGTTACTCACGAAAATAGCCGTCCATTCCATACGTACAGCACATTTACATAGTTAATTAACCATTTAGGCTGCAATTAATAATTGCATTCTATATTGTTATAATACTTCGTTAATATACTTTCTGTTAGTATGCATTCAAAAGAGAAATTGTCCACAGTTCATTTAAAAGAAGAATTCTTATTTTCAGATAGTGACAGGGAAACGCACTCACCGGGTTTGAGAAAAAAAGTAGCGAAAGAACACACACAAAAGTAAAAC